TCACACACGTTCCTATCGACCCAAACGATGAAGAAGCCCTGACTCCCAACCATTTTATGATAGGATCTTCATCAGGTTATATGCGGTTGGACAAATACGAAGCTCAGATTATTAATCCGCGGAAAAGTTTTGAAATCGCACAACAGGTAGCCAAAGCCTTTTGGAAAAGATGGCTGCGAGAGTATCTACCCACCCTTTTACCTCGGAACAAATGGAACAATAATGAACCACCGATTAAGATAGGAGATTTCGTCTTAATAATAGATTTTCCAGCACCGAGAAATACTTGGCGAAAGGGTAGAGTAGTAGAAGTCTTCCAAAACAAATCAGACGGAGTCGTGAGGATAGCGAAAGTTCGGGCAGGAAAAGGTGAACTCGTGCGCCCCGTCCACAAACTAGTAAAAATTTGCGAATCCGTGTAAATCAAAATCTCATTTTGATGGGGGGAGAATGTAGCAGACGGTTAGGTAGAGCTACGCGCGAAAAATTAAAATACATCTGACCGATAGATGTCGGACGCGCCGGGAAAACTTCTGAGCAATCCCAATGTTTTCCACAGCAGATACCGACAGGGCTCGGGGTAATTATTAAGTAATTATATTGATATCTCAAAAAAAAATTAAGTGTAAGCTGTTTGATTCGACGGCAAGCGTCTACCTGTTGTTTTATAAAAACGTATTAGATGCGGCATGCCTCTTCAATGTTCGCTCGTCTGGCGGTGTGGCGATTAGCCAGGGCCGCACGCAACAGCTTGTGTGAAATGAGTGCCGCGTTTTATGCAAGGCTGTCTCAGCCTCTATCAGTTTCGACTGCGATTCGAGGATAGCCAAAAGTTATCTCGAGATCGCTCAGCGACCCACGAGCGAGACAGAAGCTAAGGTAAAAAAAAAAATTAAAATTAAAAGGCCTCGCTTTCATACGAAGAGGGTGAGAGGTCCAGGTAAAAGGCGCTTGCGGCGAAGAAACAAGCAGTCAGTGAGTGGTGGTGTACTTTAGCCTGCGTACCGAGTTTGTTTTTTTCGTTTTTCATGTATTTTAGCCTGCGTGCCGAGTTTGTTTCCCGGCTTTCATGTGTTTCAAGCTGCGCTCGGAATTTGGCTTTTCTTGCTTTTGGCCTGCGTGCCGAGTTTGGTTTCTTGTCAATATAAGTTTAGTCTGCGTGCAAGAACAGTGCGAAGCGGATGTAGTGCGAAGTGCGTGCGTACAAATTAATAAAATAAAATTTATAAAAAGCCTGTTTTTGCCTTCATTATTACTTACTTCCGTCCCCAACATGAGGTGTTGCTCCACGCCAAGTTCTTAGCGTTCAAGGATTTGAAATCCACTGCACAGGGGCTAGGTTTTAAATACGTCTGGCACGCGGGTGGTAGGTTTCTGGTCAGACGCAGAGGAGGTGAGAGGGACTATGTTTTCTCGTCGGCAGCCGATTTAACGGCTATAAGAGCGGCATGTTCCTCGCCGGAATCACGGCAAAGGCAGTCTGGCGTTCCGAGCGCGACACCTGCGCTTGACGAGAGTGGCGGTGAGGACGCGCAAGTAAACTCTAACGCGGGTTCGGGCGCGGAGTCGCATTGACTAGATGTGCCGCGTGGCGTTGGAGACCATCCCGGCGGTTCGTTCAAGGCTGGAAACCCATTCTAAGAAACCTTAATGTGAACTCTCTTCGAGCGCACATTGAGGGACTTCGCCTCTTCCTAGCCAACAATTCCTATGACATCATTGGAATTGCCGAGACGTGGCTGGGACCGGTCGTGGATAACAGTCTCGTTCAGGTCGGGGGTTACTCGCTGATTAGGCAGGACCATAATGTAAACGGAGGTGGGGTGACTCTGTATGTGCGCAATGAATTTAAGATTAAAAAGATAAGGGCTTCGAATACTCAGCGCTTAGGGAAACCTGAGCTGCCAGAGTATCTTTTTTGTAGCGTGCAGCAGGGTAGCTCTCCTCCGGTTTCGGTCGATGTAATATATAGGCCCCCCAAGATTGCCATGCTGGAAAACACCGACCTCTTCGATGTCTTGTGCGAACTCAGCAAGAATTACAGTCACAAGGTTTTCATGGGCGACCTGAACGCGGACTTGACGAAGGACATCAGCGACGCTCGTACCATCAGGCGTCTCATAACTGATCTGTCCTTACGGCTGGTTGACCACGGCCCCACGCACCGCACTCCAACGTCTCGTACGTGGCTCGACGTCATCCTGGCCGATGATAATGATTCCGTGTCCGACTTTGGCAACCAATGACTGCCCGGTTTCGGCAATCACAGCATTATAGATGTATCCATTAGTATCCACTCGCCGGCCCGTGCTGTCAATTCCTTCGAGTTTCGCGACTACCGGGGAATTGATTCTGCATCGTTGGCCGAGTTGCTGTCATACTGCGACTGGTCAACCATGAAGCCAATTGAAACTGATCTGGAGGGTGCAATTAAAAGCTTGAATGAAAACCTTAATGTAGTAATAGATAAATTGGCACCCTTAAAAAGGGTTTTTCCTAAAAAGAAATATCCTCCCTGGATTGGGCCACAGTTGAGACGGCTTATCGATAGGCGCGACGCGACGCACAGGCGTTATAAACGCACTGGGCATTCGGAGCTGCTCGATGAGTTTTTTCGGCTGAGCAATGAGGTAGACGAGTGTTTAGATCAAGAGCGCAGCTCCTTCCTTCACCAGTATCTCGTTGATGCAATGGACAATAAGAAAAACATCTGGAAGGAGCTGCGTAATCTCGGCCTCTTGCCAAAGCGCAATGTTGAGGAGCTTCATGGATTTACGCCGGACGAGCTTAACGAGCACTTTGCGGGAATATCCGTCTCTTCCCTTGAAAACTTAGATGATGCAATGGACATAATTTCGACTACGAGTGATGAGGGGTTTTCTTTTATTTTATTTAATTTAACCTGTTACGTTAGACGATGTTGTCCTTGCCATTAAACACTTCTCCTCGCAGGCAAGGGGAGCAGATGGTGTTACCAAAGAAATGGTTGTGAGGGCTCTCCCAGTCATTGGCGAGTTCATACTTAAGATCTTCAACTCCTCCTTTACGCAGGGTATCTTTTCCGGTGTCTGGAAGCAAGCCCAAGTGATTGCATTAAAAAAGAATAGCGCACCTTTAGATGTGACGGATTTCCGCCCGATAGCGCTGCTTTGCTTCCTCTCCAAGGTACTGGAAAAGATCGCCCACACCCAGATCATGGAGTATGTTAATTTCAATAAATTACTGGATTCCCTCCAGGCCGTAAACACCACAGCATGTAGACCGCACTGCTTAAACTCATGGACGATGTGCGCATGGCCATTGACAAGAAAAAAGTAACGGTCTTGCTGTTGTTTGACTTCAGCAAGGCGTTCGACACAATATCTCCATCTAAACTGTTGTCAAAGCTGAGGCGGCTGGGGTTCTCTAGGATGGCTCTCCTGTGGATCAAATCTTATCTGCAGGGCCGTACTCAGATGGTTATCTCCAGCAGTAGTGGCAATTTTGGTTGGTTGGAAACCAATCTGAGCATTCCACAGGGCTCCGTCCTGTGGCCCTTGCTGTTCAGCCTCTACGTCAATGACCTGGACACTTTGCTGGAAGGACGCACAATTAAACATTTGTTTTATGCAGACGATCTGCAAATCTACTTTCATACGTCCAAGGATTTTGGAGGGTGTGTCTCGACTGGCCGGGGTGGCTCGGCTGGTTTCTGACTAAGCGAGTTGCTCTGGTCTGCGTCTCAACTCTGACAAAACCAAAGCTATTTACTTTGGTGCAATGAAAATAGTCAATACCATCGACTCGTGGAATCTGCCAGGCGTTGGATTGCAGGGCGAAGTTATGGTTCCCTTCAGCAAGTCGGTCGTGAGTCTTGGCGTTACCCTGGATTGCAAATTTACGTGGAAACCGCAGGTTGATTCCGTCACCAAAAAAGTCAATAAAGCCTTGTACAGCCTGCGATTTTTTAGGGATTGTACGACCGAGACTCTCCGCGGACGGTTAGTGGAGTCACTAATCCTGCCCTATCTTGATTATTGTGCTGTGGTTTGCCTCGATGCGTCTAATGAGCTTCGTACACGTCTGTAGCGATCGAGCAACGCCTGCATCCGCTACATCTTTGGTGTAAGATGTGACGAACATATATCCCCCTATCGGAGGCGTCTGGGTTGGCTTCACATGGACTCGCGCAGGCTCTACTTTGAAGCCATTCAACTATATAAAATTACCAGAATGCGTGAGCCAGAATACCTTTTTATATTTTTCAAGAAGCACAAATTCGGGCTCTCTACAAGGGGAATTCCACCAGAGTTGGCGGTTCCCAGGGTGTGAACCAGGACTGGGGCGCAAACCTTCCAGATACAGGGTGCACGCTTTTGGAATAGCCTTCCCTCCGAATTGCGTGATTCACCGTCTCTCGACTATTTCAAGCGAGCGATGCATGAGCATCTTTTTGATTTGGATATCTAGAGATCGTTAATCTCTGGGACACTGTAACTAGTAGCTTTTTGATAGCTTTGTGACTAGGCCTACGGCCATCTGTTAGTTGTGTGATTGTGAGAGGTTTCGGGCTCCGAGTGTTATTATTGTGATATCGTAACGAAGAATCTCAAAGAGACTGACATATGAAAGTACTGCGTAAACTGTAATGTAGTGAATGCTACTATAGATCCTTAATGTGTATGAAAAAAGTACATTGTGTATTAATCGGTACTTATGACTATGCGCTGCACTATAAAAATTAACTGTGATATTAATTTAAGTAATATTATATGTACATACTTTGTTAATTAGTTTTGTTAATGCAAATAAAAAGGATCAATCAATCAATCAATCTTTTAGTTGTTCGCTCTAGCGTCACGAGTATTACCGCATCGCGAACGGATCGATTGATCGAATCGACTACCGTTGCAATAATTTAATAAAATTAATTTTACATTTATTTAATTACTTAAATTAGATGAAATCGATTTAACTATTTTGCCATTATGTTTTTTATACAATATTGAACTCATTTACAGGATTCAGTCGTATACGAAGACTGGAGGTACTGGAATCATCCGAATCTCTTAGAAACTTTAATAGAATACCCATCAGTGAGGCCATACGCTCCAGTTTTACTTGTCCACTTGACTTTACTGCAACCAAGATTCTATAGCATTTCATCATCGCCGTTATCTAGTCATAATCAAATTGACTTAACAGTTGCAGTTGTGCAGTATAAAACTAAAGGTAATTATACGACGTCAAATATTCTTGACAAAATAATGGAAAATGTGATATACATGAAATTATGAAAAGAATGAATATATCAAAAATTTTATTTGAATTAAGATTCAGATAAAAAATTGAATATACAATAGTAGATTAACTAAATAGAGCGAAAAACGAATGATTCCTGCATTCGCGGAAATTGAAATCTAAATTTCGTTATTTTTCTTCACTAGCTGGAAAAAGTTTGAGCGGCAATCAATAAAAAAAAATTTATGTTGGGTTCTTCCGGGTCAGCAAGAATAGTTGTAGAAGATCTACGAAATTTTATAGATACTTTTCTCTATAGTATAGTTATGTCTAAGCGAGGAGATGTTACGGCTAGATGTAATAAAGTTTAAAATACTATCGCGGTGGTAAAAGTTGTATCTTAGTTAGGAGTTAACCCTTTGGTTACAGGGATAGCGCCTTTATTATATGTAGCGTGTTTAGGTAGATAACTTAGTTTCTTACCTTGTTAGGATTGGATTTCAGAAGAGGTTTTTACAAACAGTCTCAGGTGTTTGCGCTTGATTTAAGATTTATTGTTTAAAAACAGTTTTATAATGCTTAGCAGAGTATAATTCCGGTTCTGAGTAGCCGGATAGCGAGACTTAGAAATAACTAAATCAGTATGAGTACGAGTACTAGAGTATGAGTGCTAATATGAGCGCTAATGTAAGCTTTAATATGAACTGCGCGAAATGTGTATTGTGTGAACTGAACTGCCTTTCCCGGATCCCGATCCAGCCTTTTCATACCATAGACTGAATGTGCCCCTTCCTGTGTTTTCGCCGAATTAATATGCGGTGAGTAATATTCGCAGAAATATTATGGAGAACGTGCTTAGACTAATCTATCCCGCTAGATAGATTATGTTCCCGGGAGGGTTGATATGATAGGAAATTAAATTACCGATACCCGGTTAGTTACCATAACCCGTTGTGTGACATTTACTTATCATAGTTCGTCACGTACGTTTTCTTTGTATCGACGTGACATGCCCACCCCTCGGAGTCCTTTGCTGATAAAGCAAGGGACTAGTGCTCTCAGAGCGCTACTGTAACTATTTTGTTGAAAGTATATAAATTTTTTTGTTGTCTTTCTTTGTGTCTTATCATTCTACATACATATTTGTATTGTGTCGTATATATATATATATATTTTTTTTTGTGTCGTGTTTCGTTATATATTTGTGTTGGTTTATCTTTGTTATATATGTTTATATACTTTTTTTTATGTTGTGTTTCGTAATATATTTTTTGTGTCTGTTTATCTTTGTTATATATATATATTTTTTTATATCTTATTATATATATTTTTTGTTGTTTTTTTGTTATTATTATTATTATTATTTTTATTATTTATATATTTTTTTTATCTTATTATTCTAAGAATAGGAAGGACTTGGGATAGGATTACATCAACTCCAAACGATGAACTTGCAAACTCCTCTGGAACATAAAACCTCCTTGCCGATACATCTGAGACAAGGAGCATTACTGAGCATAAAATGCTCCGGGCGGATACATTCGGCCTCCATGGCCAGTTGTTGGTCTTTTGAAGCGGCTGCGACGCGAGCCCGGCAGAAGAAACACCCCTGCCAATGTTCGGTGTCTTGTCCGCACACGCGGCATGGATTGAAAGGGGTTCGTTCAAACCTTCTCCTCCATAGGTTTCCTCGAAGAAGAATCTTAGGTGCAGGTGTCCGTGATGGACCTCCTGGAAAATATACTGCGTCAGCTGGTGGTGGCTCCAGCCTCCATCGTCGTCCAATAGTGGCAGCTCAGGATGTTACATGCTCATCTGGGCCTCCCGGTTCTCCCATCTTGTAATTAGTCGTTCCATAGTTACTGTCGACGTCCTGTTGTTTAATACCTGTTCCGTCGTCCAGGATCTATTGGCCTTTTTGTGCGGCGGGCCGAGTGTGGTAGTTGCCGTGCGTTTCATTGTGCTGGTTTATGGAGTATCTAACATGACAGGGGGTATGTTAGTGCTTTTATACCTTTGTTGTTAGAAAGTGGAGAGAGGTGGAGGATTGTCTGTTGTTTCGGATTCTTGGAGTGGGACTGCTTGCACGGCCATGGGTGGGGAGTGAGGAGTGTCGTAGTTGATTGTTAGCCTAAAATATTTTCCCTCACATAATGTTTGTGTAGAGTTGCAGATCATTCGTTTTTGAGCGTTTAAGGGCTGATTCAGTTCTTAAATTGGTGTAATTTCGGTCCTATGGCGTTTCTCACTGCACACTCTATATGCCCAGAGTATGCAACCTACTGCGATTACGGATGCGATAACGATTACAATGGTTACTCCTAACGCTAAATACGCGTGAATAATTTCACTCGGTCCGAGTGTTCGTATCTGTTCTGATTATTATTTATTTTTAGGCTTTTTATTACTATTTCATTTGTAGTTATCAGAGAGATTTTCGGAATTACAAAATTTTCCGCCTTTAGTTTTTTCTTAGCCCCCAAATAAATACGGTAGTTCGTTCTAAGTTCGCACAGCAGGGGAATCTGTATTAACCCAGTGCTATTCAAAAGAAAGGGTTGTACTACGCCGTTACAATTCACATCAAAGGAAGTATTGAGAGTCACTGAGTATAGCAAAACATTATTTTGTAACATCGGTATAAGATAGTAGTCAGTTTCGGAGCTAGTTTCAAGTTGGCAAAATACAAGATTGGTCACTTCTGGTGATGTTAACAGACTAAACTCGCAGGAATTATTGTTTGACTTGCGTATAGTCAGGCGCGGGCACAGATAGAAGGAAAAAAAAAGTTTACACTCGTTATCAATCAAATTCTTGTTTACAAAGGCATGGATAGTTTCTCCCTCTGTCACAGTTAGGTAATCACTTTGTGGTCTAATGAATTTAGCGATTTGGTTAGTTTTGCTAAGATACTGAAATGCTGGTAGTGAATATAATTTGAAAATCTGCGTATTACTGCTTGCGACAAGGGAAAAAATTACTTCGACAACGATGTTCTTACGAAAGTAAACTACGTTAACTTCTGCAATTTGTAATAGTGTTATGATATTGATTTTTGACATATGTACTGGCAACTTTGAAATAGTAATTGCCTTGATAGTTTTTATAGCGTTTAGCAAAAATTGCGAATTGAAAAAAAATTGTTTGTTTTGCAGGAGTTGACGTACTTCAGTTGATATGTAAATGAATTTATGTAACATATCGTTAATTTCGGCTAAAATAAGGCTAATGTGTATAGAATTATATACTGGGCTCATTGTGCTAGAATTGAAATCTGCGCGAGCTTTTTTAAAAAGCAAAAGATTTGTTTCTGATTGTAAATTATTTTCGGTAATATAAGATAAGTCATACTCGCCTATTTGTTTGGTCAAATTACTCTGGTGCATATACAAAACATCTTCAAGGGCCTTATCGGCATGTTCGAGTAAGAGGCTGTCCAGCGATGCTAGAGCATCCCGCCCCCCGTTGGGTGTGTCAAAAGCGTACGCGTTGAGAAAGGTGCTGACTGCTTCGTTGATGTGTTGGAGTTTTTTTGTTTCTTCGTAGGCTGTGTATATAGAACTTTTGATGAAATCGTTTATCTCGATTGTCTTGCCAGCTGCAGATATTTTTTCCAATGTTTGGGTGAAATTGTAATGTGAGTTAAGTACTGAGTTGATGTCAAGAGCGGTGATAATATTCCATTTTCTTAAATAAATCGTATGGTAGGTCCTTTTTCAAAAGCGATTCCAGGTTGACTATCATATTGCTTTGTAGTTGGCTGGTTTTGGCATATAACGGTAGTTAGTAGACTGATGAAAAGTACTCTAGGTAAGAGCATTTTGCTGGTGTTAGCTGGAAGAGTTGTTTTTCTTTTTTTAAATTTTTTAAAATTTTTGTCTAGCGTTGACAGCGATTTTGTTAAAAAGCACAATCCATTCCCAATTGTCTATTTGTTCAAAAAAGTTTCTTAGTGTGGTTGGGGATTTGTTATAATTTCTACGGAGCAGGAGTGGTAATACTCGTGGGGGCTTGTCAGAAGGGTAATTAGTACTCGGTTTGAGTAGCTCGCTGAGCATTGTATTTTTATCTTGGATGTCGCAATGATAACTCATAGTGTAATGTGTTTGTGTATAGGTGTTTTGGTTAGTGCATTTCTTAAAGATATCTCTTACGAGTATCTCTGCTATATATTTCATGGCTATGTGTAAGCAGTTAGAGTAGTGTTCATGATATTGTTTTAAAGAGCGGATGTTTTTTGTTCGGAAAGGTAAAAGGCTGTTAATGCCGGTGGTGTAGGAAATGAGTCTATTGGCAATTCGAGGTTGGGTTATTGGGTTATTGGGTTATTAAGAAACCAGCCTGCGAACGAAGCCGCACCTGCTCGTCAGAGCGCGCAGGCTTCGTTGGCCCCGGCTGTAGGTGTAGCCCCTAGTCTGGTCTCGCAGCAGCGCAATCAGGGAAGTAGCAAGTTAAATAGGCCATTTACGGGGCTTGCTTCAATTGTAACGCGGTGGGACATAGGAAGGCGCAATGCCCGATAGCTCAGGTTAATCCGCGGGTAGTTTGTTATAAATCCCGACAACCGGGGCATTACGCTAATAACTGTCCAACGCGAACTTCAGAGCCGACCTTATATTGCCAGGTTTGTGGGACAATCGGTTACGTGTTTAGAGAATGCCCTACTTGTAATCAGGTGAAGCAGGGAAACCTCCAGCAGGGAAGACACCGTAGAAGTAAGGAATAGAGTTGAGGCAAAAGAGGTGTAACACGTACGTTAATAATTTAAGCTCGAACAACGTTGCGTCACAAATTATTTAAGGGGAAAGGCTCGGAAGGCATACTCGCTTCGTTGCGGAAAATTAACGAGGGCTATGTCGTCCGGTAATATCGATAATCGCGGTTTGACTAGTTGCGAGAGAGACAGGTTGCATATATAAACTCATCTGTTCGGATATTTTACACTTTATTAAAATCACAATATACATGCGGCGTTGACGTGTGCGTCGGCC